CAACTGAATGTGGTGCACCAGGCTGCCTGATGTTTCAGTCACTACGATCTTCGAGATGTCGCGATACACATATATTTTTGTGATGCAAATGAGTGTATATTCGCTAATTTCGTGCAATTTGGTTTCAAGTAGAACATAAGGTTGACGGAAACTCGGGGACTGCGCCTACCTGATGAACCCCTTGAGAACGGTAAAGTATATTAGATTGCCCAGGCTCAGACAAGAGGGATCGAGAATTAGGAATACTGATTCAAAGTGGGAATACATCCGTCAGAATATCCAACCTGAACTCCCAAGCTGAATTGAGTGGTGTGACGATTCTAATATAGTAACACGACTTGGAGTTCACTGCTACGTCCACAGGCCATACAAAATAATACAAAACTTGACTTACTCGATCAAGCAATTCGCCGACCAAGTTGTGGAGCATCCGGAACAATTCCTCGTTTGCGAAATCCTTCGGAAGCATAAAAAAACTATCAGAGACATAGGTCTCACCTTTTTGTAGGACTTTAGCAAATCATCCACCTGTGCATATGCCCCGTAAAGATCACGGTCCTTTGGAATCTCCTGTCGGAAACAAACTAGTGCAGGTTGTGTCAGATTCATCAGTAATCGGATGGCCAACTCTGTGAGTATCTTGTTTTCATTGGTGCATGAACAGAGAAGAGGAATGAGGTCACTGGAAACTATTTTCAGTCTTCCCAGCTCACGCCGTACGTCGCAGTCTGGACCCTCATTTCGCAGGTAACGCAGCAATGCCCGGATCGACGCTTTAAGAGAGCCAAACATAAACAGTGTTGTTAAAAAAAAGTACCTTCTGCATCTGCGTCAATTTTGTAGACATTGTCCTCGCGAAAACCCAGACATGCACAGCATGCCTGAATATCAGCGTATCGAAGAACTGGATCTGCCAACATGGGCTGTAAGAAAATGAGGTTGGAGTACAGTTTGTGCTACTGAGTAAGCGAAACAATGAAAGCGACAGTTGGAGGACAGAGAAAAGGTTGGTCACATGGCTGGATGACAGAGGCATGGCACCATTTACAAGCTTCACCCTTCATAAGGCTGCTTTGTCTTCCGATGGTTATTCGTTTTCGGGAAAACACCACCCTCATCTCCAACGCGTCGTCTTCCCGCCACTAACCAACGCCTAAGTCTACGTCACAAGCTACCTATGGCTTATAAGTCGGCGTCCTCCTCGACCAGTGACAGAGCTGTGGCATGGTCCGCCATTTTTATTGGTAGTATGTAGGCATCTCAATCCCTAGTTGTTTTGAAAAATCCTGCGAGTGCAATCCATCCATGCTGGAGAGCCTGTACTGAGTACTGTACGGCTGTTTAATCTTCCTGGAAATCAACAGTAGCGCGTATTGAACCAATCGCGGCCGAAAGTCGGTCACACACCTTTCAAAATAGCACTTTGAACACCAGGCTGAATAAGAAGGTATCCTTTTTCTAATTCAGTATCAAGTAAAGTACAAAAATGAGTTTCTCTGAATGGTTAAAAAGTAAATACTGCAGCCTGTGAATATGAGAAAGAACGGTTCTGTCAAGTTTGGAAGTGACGCACAATTCAAAAGATAGCAATGATGCCACCAAACATTCAGCTAACTCACGAAGGCAGCCCTGTCGATCAACCGGCTATATTAATAGAGGACATGCAATTTTGGAGGAAGGTAAGATAAATTCCGTGGAAACCGACACCTTAATGGACGCCGAGTTGTGGTCGTTCCAAGTTCGGTAGCCAGTAGGGAGTCAAGGATAATTTAGTGGAAGTCATATTACTATAATTACGATTACAATCAGTTACCACCACCTATTATAGAAGTAATAACATTAGTTAACCCACTGTCATTTTTAAGGACCGGAAACGGAGTACTTCCAGAACTTGACTGGTACAAGCGCAGCAACAAAGCTCTATGCAATTTCGTGGAGCACTATAGCATAATGAAACAATTCAGTAACCCACAGCAGAGCAAAGCTTAAGAAGAATTATCTGGATTTAACTCCTACAATTCTACTACGGGCGTCTGATAAATGGTGTAATTTACTTGCAGTTGAGCAAGTGAATATTGCGTCGCTCACCGCTGACACAGGATTTATTTTTTGAGTGGACTGCTTACGTTTTACATAGCTTGTGTAATACAACATTCATCCTCTATCATCACCAGCTGCAAGACCGCATACCTATCGTACAACAGTTATGGCTGCCACAGTTTGGTTCGCCGATTACCTGGGGAGGTGGGGTAGATAGCTGCACATTGGAGGCGGACGCTGACAGATTCGTGAGTATATATATATATATATATATATATATAAAAGTGGGCTTTTACACTAATGTGTCCCATCTTTGGGTCCCGATCCAGGGAGACGGCAATGACCAGCGCAGCTGAGTTTGCCGGTAATGGCTTCGTACTTCACCACCAAGTCGTTGCTTGACCACCCCTGGGTCGTTTCCACCCGGTTGTCTGAAAACAACCCTTCGAGGGAGTCAGTCGGCTGGCATACGGAGCAAGTGACCAAGCCAGGGCAACTTATGTAGTGATCAGATCATCTATCGAGGGGGAGTTATTTCTTCCGAATGCTATTCGACGTCATATCATCATCATCATCGACAGCATGACATCAGTGTTCAACACCAATGCTTCACTGCCGTACAACCAACCATTATTTGAAAGCCTTATTGTAAAGAAAAGAATAAAGGTGGATGGGGGAGGGACTTAGTGCTAGCCAAGTTGCACATCCAAAAACTCGCTTTCTACCTGCCGACGTCAACCCACACGACCTATGGTTCTGAGACAACCACCGCCGAAGACCTAAGGAGGTCCCAGTTCCGCTGATCAAATAGGCCAAGTCTCACAGTCATACAATAAAACAAACCGTGCTGTAGCCTGATACGTACATTCTTTGAGATCCAGGGATACACTGCTTTGACGCCATAGGTGTCTCAAATTAGGGAAACGAGATCTGAGCCTTGAGGATTAATGCATGTACTTCCTCTGCCACACTACAATCGGAGTTGATATAACCTTCATGATACGTGAAAGACTCCACAGCTCCAAGTGCCACTATGGATTGTTGGTGGCCTATTCCATGGCTGCATCTCCAGAAGCATGACCTAAGATTTTTTGGGTGCAAAATGCATACCATAGGACGTGATAACTTTGGTCAGTAAATAAAAAAACGTGCTCCTTCTTATCTTGTAAGACGAGAACGATGTCGTTTGCATATTCCATATTGACAAGTTTTTCCCCAGCAGTTGTTCGAAAACCATAGTTTTGATGACCTTTCAGCGTTCGTTTCATTGTCTTGTCGATCACGGAATTTTTTAGGAATGGAGAGAGTAGGCAACCTTGACAGACACCACTTTCTGAGAGCTCTCCGTATACTCTTCCACGTCTGGGAGTCTGGAAGTACAAAGAATTTATTATGTCTACAAACTTTCGGAGCATTCCTTGATGGGCAAGCTTGTCAAGAAGAACAGGCCGGTCAATCGAGTCGAATGCGTCATTGAAATCCAGGAATACTAGAATTGTGGATCGTTTGCACGTATGACGTTCTAGCACCTGATGGAATGTGGAGACTTGGGCAACCGTTCGAAGCCAGAATCCTGCTTGCCGCTCTCGAGTCACTGTTTCACGAGCTTTCGTAATAAGTGTGGTAACCACACCGGCGTCAGCCTGATGCCGATGGTAACGAGGCTGTTGATATCAGTGGGTGGATGAGTAGCAAGCTGAAGTATTCAGGTTATCTCTTCAGCTTTTTTCTCAGTCACTTATTAGTTGACCGTCAGCGTCTCAAAGGTTCCTTGGCTGTTCTCTTGTGTCGAAAGGTGAATGGTCCTTTAGGAGATCCAATTTTTGTGGCATCGAGCTTTAAATCCAAGATTCTATAGAGTGGCATTCTGTACGGATGTCTCTAGACGAAGCCAAATGTTTGTGACGGAGATGAGTTGAAATAGGGGACCTGATGTCTCCTCTATAATCTGGTTGTTGATCGCATCCTGTAGTTGAAGACACTTCTCGGAATTCGATTTGAATTCAATTTCTGAGCTATGAACCGGTCGGAAGCAATGAAAGCCTCGTCGTCTGCACAAGGTCGTCTGGACTTTATGGCAATGGGCTTATACCTTGGATCAAGATGCTCAAACAAAGCGAGAGGTTCGATTTTGGCGGCTGTTAGACCGCAAAAGGAGAAAGAAAGTTTATCACTGTTGGAGATTTACAGGGATTTGTGAAGTCTGAGAAAAACATGTCTAAGTAGAGTATCCACACAAAGATCACGTAATACTGGAAACTTGAAAGGGGAGTACACGTTTTGTATATGTTGCAGTGTTAAAAACAGTGCACAAGAGTGAGGCCTTTGTGCTGGATGGATGCCAAAGTCACCTCAGACGACGACGGTAGTTAGGGGCAATGATTGCGACGAAATGAGAATTTCGGAACTACCAGTATGAACAAGAGCTCGAAATGGAATGCCATTGGCTTTCAAATCGGTGATTCCTTCTTTCGGGCACTCGGGGGCCGCTGCACTGATGCAAGATAACTGCTCTGTACTTCCTCCGTTTTTAAACGATTGGTCGTTCCCTGATAAATCATTTCTCCTCGTTTCAGCTCGTTTTCAGCTCTATGTCAAAGATTTGGATGGATAAAGCCTAGCTTCAAGGTCCTCAGTCTTTTCCGTTCTTATTCTGACCGTCACTGCGCCCTATCAATTGTGCACATGAATAGTGTACCTGAAACACATGTGCTCTTCAGACCAGTAGATCTACATACTTTTTGGAAGTATCCTTTCTTTGCAGTTTTTGTAGACCGCGTCTTTAGAGGGGCATTCATAACGGGGATGATGAGCAAAGCCACAGAAGAAACATGATGATCCCATACTAGCAACAGTCGTCTGTTTATGCGATGGTGCTTGAGAATGTGGAGACCTTGATGGGTCGTTCGATACAGTAGCGATGTAGCTCATTGTTCAGCACAAGTGACTGCGACTGTTTTTTTGCGCTAGTTCGATAACTGTCTTGTCATCGCAGGCGCCTCTAAAATCCAGAGACTTATGTTTCAATAGCCTATGACGAATAATGCTCGAGTAAGGTCCACCAAAAAGGCATCTGGTAACGATATGTTGTTCTGCATTGAAAACTGTGAAGCGGTGACCTGGTAACAAACTGCGAAGCTTTTGCACAAACTGATCATGATTATGATCTCCGTCCTGCTTCGGAGCATTTGAAAGATTCCGGGAGAAAATTTCATTTTTCAGCTGTACCCCGATTTCTCACCAGGTAGCAGTAATTTGTTCATAATCCTTACAGTCCTTGATGAAGCAGCAAACACTAGGAGAAACGTAATGAACAAGGCTTTCAGTTTATCTGGTGATTGAGAAGCAGTTGACTACAGAAAATTCGCGAAAGTATAAGACCATTGTCTTGAGTATTGGGATCGGTATCAAACCGTTCAAGACGTAAGAATCTATTCATTATTCGATGAAAATTTCTGGACGAATAAATTTTTGTGTTCGACGAGGGATGGAGTGCAGCGACGATCAGAATAAGAACGGAAAAGACTGAGGATCCGGTCCACAGAATCGAAAACACTCCTGAAGCAGAGGGAAGCCAAGACTGAAGGGTGCCCACATGCACTTCCTTGCTTTAACACTTGCCTGGGTATGGAGATGTGCTCTACAAAGCTCCCTGTCGGCCTGGGATCCTGCTTTCTGTTCTCAGACTCACTCTCCATTCACCCTTCTTAGCAGCCATAAAATAAGGGACGCAGTCTGCTTAGAGCGAGGCGAAGGCAATTCCTCCGCGACTGCCGAACCAAGTGTGAGCACCCTTTTTGAAAATGGGCACCGCGATAGACTCACCTTAGTTAGTTAAGACGGTCTATTGCACCCAGGTGGAACTACAGGCTGGACCTTACCGTTAGGTGGCGGTTTGTGCCTCCGTGACCTCCTAAGCTAAACTGAGTGGGTCTGTGTGACATCCAGAGTATCTTATACCAGGTTGGTCGATGATGAAGTCTGACTGTTAGGATGGTCAGGTCCTACCGAACGATTCTACCCTTTGTAATATTTCACTAAGACTTCATTTTCTCCTATCGTAGCCAACTGAGCCGCAGCGCTGTTTCTTCCATTGGTTCATCTGCAATATAGCCGATCTTCGTCTGGTGTTATTTATCTTCTTCCTTGAGGTTTCTCCACTCAAGTAACTAGACTACCAACGTGATAGGAAAAATTCCATCAAGCTCCTAAATCACCGAACTAGCTCCCATAGACGCAACTGGTCAAAAGTCTCCTGGTCCTCCAGGTTAGGGGCTGCTTGTTTTACAAGAATGGCAATGCATTTGCAACTTCCGCCAAATACCACGGCCTTGCGATCAGGCCTTTGGGCTAAAGGCTTCGGTAGAGGACTCTAATCGACCTCCTGTCTAGGTCTCGGTACTCTGGCAGTAACCCAACCCACATACAACCATGAGAATAACAACTAAAATCCCATCATACCACATCGGCCGTCGCGAGATGTAAACAGCCGAGTGGTCTTACTTACTCCATACTGTTAAGTTCACTACAAATCAGTCAATCAACCTTGTCAGTTACGCACGAAACTGAGAAGACAAAAAGCCTTGAGGAAATTATACTGCAGCACCTGAGCAACCAATATCGAGATTCGAGGAATCAGGAATGGAATGGAACAAACAGTCCAATGAAAGGCTGAAATAGAGAGAGAGGGAGAAATGTTGAGCAATATGTTCGTTAGGAGTGCCTCCTAACACCTCCCCTTTGAAGTCATTGTTCGTACGACTGGAGTTGTGGGTTCAGTTGCATTCGTATGACAGGCTTTCTGATCCGATCGGTCCATCTTCTGGGTGTACAACTTTTGGAAATTTCTGGTCCATTCATCGGCTCTGGAGATTTTGGCTTTTGAGCTAACTCAGATGTGTCGAGAAGTCTCCAGTGGAAGAACAGGGTCGAGTGTAGGTGCCGCTGGAAGATAGGAAGCGCGTAGCTGATTGGCATGACGGACCCAGATAGAGGAGCCTACATTTACCTCATAGACAACTCTTCCGGCCCGGCGCACAATTATGCCTTGTGTCCACTTTTCCGCGCCACCACGATAGTCTTTCGCTAGCACAGATTGGCCGGGTATAAATATGTTCTTTGCAGCACCGTGATGTCGGTTGAACTGAACTTCCATATTTATGTTTCTACCGGTTGGCGAATGTGGTGTTGGACGGATGACGTCAACGGGTAAGCGGACCTTCCGGTTCATAAGTACCTCCGCCGGGGACTTACCATGTGGAGCGTTAACATTTGGTGTCGCCCTGTAACTCAGCAGAAATGTCTCGATGATTTCCGGGGTGGTCCCCTCCCCTTTGAGTTTTTGGAGTGCGCGTTTGAAAGTGTCCACAAATCTTTCCACTTGGCCATTTGATTGTGGATGAAATGGTGGTGATCGCACGTGTTGTATGGCATTTTCTTGACAGAAATCGGAAAATTTAGCGGAAGTGAATGCACTGCCGTTGTCGGAAACAATGATATTTGGAACTCCGAAGTGGCTAAACACATGTTGTAGTTTTGAAATGGTAGCCTCAGCAGTAATATGGTTCATGCTAAACACTTCTGGCCATTTGCTATAAGCATCTACTAGGATGAGATATTGTTGGCCGTTGATTGGTCCCGCAAAATCAACATGAATTCGTGACCATGGAGTTTCTGGGACAGGCCATGAACATAATTCTGTTTTTCGAGGGGATTTCGCAGATAGTTGGCATTTGGAGCACTTGCGTACAAGTTCTTCTAACTGCTTATCCATGCTCGGCCAGTAGACATAACTACGTGTTAGCGCCTTCATGCGGTTAATACCGGGATGTCCAAAATGAAATTGTTTGAGGACATCACTCCGTAATTCCGGGGGCACAATTACTCGTTCTGCGAAGAGTAAACAACCATCAACCTCGGAAAGTGAGGATCGACGTTGGTAGAACGGTTGAAGTTGTTTATCGGAACATACTGCAGGCCATTGTGTGCGGTGAAAATGGAGTACATTTTGAAGTAACGGATCACGAGCAGTGGCGTCGCGAACCATGGCGGAAGTAACTGGGAGTGCACGGATTGTAGTAGCAAGCACTGCGTTAACTTCTGGTTCCACCGTTATCGAGGCAACAACAGCATCCTCGGGTTGTTGACGTTGAGAATCCATGAGTCTTGATAATGCATCAGCTTGGCCAATAGCATCAGTAGACTGGTACTTGATGGAGAAGTCATAGCCCAAAAGCATTGTAGCCCAACGTTGCAAACGGTTGGCTGTGTAAACAGGGATGCCTTTCTTGGATCCGAAAACGGCGAGAAGGGGCTTATGGTCAGTGATGAGCGTGAAATGACGTCCATAGAGCATTTTGTGGAACTTCTTGATGGCGAAGATTATTGCTAAAGCTTCTTTTTCAATTTGACCATAATTGCGCTCGGTAACTGTTAGGGATCTAGCTGCGTGGGCAATTGCTTTTTCGTTTCCGTCGGGGAAAACGTGAGAGATGACAGCTCCAATACCATAGTTGGATGCGTCTGAAACAACAGTAATGTCCAGGGCTGGATTGTAATGTGTGAGTAGTAGATCAGAGCTGAGAAATGACTTTACTTTGTCAAAAGCGGACTGGCACTGATGTGACCAGTTCCAAGGCACATCCTTTTTTAGAAGATGATTAAGTGGTTCACGGACACGGTGCATGTCTGGCAAAAATGAACTGTAATGGCTTACTAAACCGAGAAAGGAGCGCAAGGTTGCTAAATTCGTCGGTGCTGACATTTGTTGTATGGCAGAAATATTTTCTGGGTCTGGATGACGACCATGTTCGTCAAAAATAAATCCAAGATATTTGATAGAAGTGAGAAAAAATGCGCACTTCTCTGCACGTAGACGAAAACCATATTGTTGAATCCGTTCGAGTACGCAATGTAAACGATGCAGAAGTTCTTCTTGACTAGAACCTGTAAGAATGATGTCATCCAAATAAGCAGCAACTCCTGATAGACCGTTTAGCATGGCATCCATTGTTTGTTGAAATATTGCTGGTGCAGATTTTACCCCAAATGGCAAACGGTTAAATTGAAACAAACCGCGATGTGTGTTAATTGTCAGAAGTTCTTTGGAGTCATCAGAGACTTCTATCTGAAGGTAAGCATCAGCAAGATCCAGTTTTGCGAAACATCTTCCACCATTGAGCTTGGTGAACAAATCTTCTGGTACCGGCAATGGATATTGGTGAGAGTCTAACACGGCGTTTAATCCAGTGGAATAATCAGCACATATGCGCACCTTGCCATTTGCTTTTTTGATGACAACAATGGGAGCTGCCCATGATGAGTGGTTTACTGGCTGGATAACTCCGGATTGCTGGAGACGAACAAGTTCATTCTCCACAGTTGCGAGAGCAGCAAATGGCACGGGACGCTTCGGTCTGAAAATTGGTGTGGAAGCAGGTTGGAGTTTGAGGCTTGCCTTGGTTTTGGTACAGCATCCAAGGCCACTTTGGAAGACATCGTTGAATTTTGTCTTCAGTGTGTTAGTAAAGTGTTCTGCAATGTCTGAGGAGGATGAACATTTCAGAGTACTGCACACAGATGATAAAGGTACACTGAAAAGGTCAAGTTTCTCGATCCAATCGAGTCCGAGTATGTTTAATTTCGGACAATCGGTGAGATAGCATGTTCCTGAGAAGTGCACATTGTTGAATAACACATCACAAGACAACTTGCCTGTTAGTTTTAAAGTGCTACCAGAGGCGCTTTTGGCCCGATGGTGCGTGGAGGATAAAACAGGTTTCCCAATTGATTCCCAAACTGAACGTGATATTAATGTAATATCCGAAGCTGTGTCAAGCTGCAAACGGATCGGGAAATTGTTGATGGAAACTGTTATGTATTTCCTGCGGGATTCAAATTCAACTTGAAACGTAGCAAACAGAGAATTGGATTGTATTCGTTGCTTGTACGTCCGCCTTTTGATTGAGTCTTTCATCGGACTGTTATCGTTCTTTGGGTTTAATGGTGATTTGGCATTGTGGGTACGGCAAAAGCCTTCTTTATGGCCCCAACGATGGCATGCTTGGCACTGATGTTTCTTGAATGGACAAAAACGTGCATAATGCCATTCACCACATGACCAACATGATGTTGGTGGCTTTTTTCCAGGAGTGACAGCGGTTCGCTTCAATGTCATGACGCTGCTGGAAATAGGCGATCGCGACTTTTGCTGTACCATTGCGGTATCATGTTTGAGATTGCGCAAGCGCTGGCATTCTGTGGTGAGGTCTTTCACAGTAATGTCTTTTTCGTGCTCAAGTTTGGATAGCAATCGCGTGCGAATATCTGATTCCTGAGAAGATTGAAGTCCAGCGACAAAAATGAGGCATTTGAACTGATCTTCTGTAAGCGATTGCAATTGGAATTTCTCACATTCGCGATTAACGATACCGGCAAAAGTAACGTAATCGTCGGCATCACGCTTGGCCAACTTGAGACAGTTGTATCGGACATTAAAAAGTGAATGTTGGTCACCAAAAATTGCGCGAAGTTGTTCCACCGTCTGCGCAAAAGTCAAATCTTTTGGGTGTTGTGGAAGGATAAAGTTGGTGAACCGGTCGTGTTCGAGGGTTCCAAGTTTCCGTACCAAGAGACGGGATTTCCACGCATCATCTTTGCCGGTGAACTCATTCAAGAATGCATCCTCCCAACGGCTGTACCACGAATCAAGGGTGGGAC